TATGCGTGTATGTCTGTGTGCATGTGTGTATGTGTGTGTGCGTGTGTATATATGTGTGTGTGTAAAACTCCCCACTTTACATAACTTTCTTGTTCATTAACCAGGCAACCGCCAGTCCCAGAGAGGAAGGCGACTCTTGGCATCTGTGTGCACTGGTGTTCTGTGCTTTCCCCAGCGTGACTTTCTCCTTACCCTGTCGTGTCTTTGGAGTGAGTCCACTTTCCTCCTCCTCCCACACCATGGCCCGCTTCTGGGTTTTCCATCATTTAGTTTACATTCAGTTCCAGGCAGAATGTGTTAGCGTCAGCCCTTTGGGATGTCCTTTCTATGTCAGTCATCCTTGGTCCTTAATCACAGCATCCCGTGACATCTTCGTGACCTCTTTAGATTTCACTTTGCAGAAGCTTTGCTGCTCCCTGCTGTTCTGAGTTCCTTTTCTTCCCCTACTGCGAACTCTTTGTTCTGAGTGAGTTTTCATTTTGTGCACTCAGTTGTGGCTTTTGTTGTACTGACTCTTCATTCTGGTGTTTATTTGTATCTGAGACCTTCAGAGTGAAGGTGCTGATGTACAGAGGAGCATAATTAGGAAGGAAGCTCACTGTGGGCAAGTGTGTAGAAGGCCTTTGGCCACTCCTTCCTGATCAGCTAACCTTAATTTCTTTTCTTGGAAAAAACACGTGGGAGCGCCCCCAGCCACGGCTCCAGCCCCCACTGCCCTTCTCTAGTGCCCTGTTTTGCCACCCCCTGCAGATGGGTGCTGGGCTGAGGGGATGACAGCCAGTGCCCTGGCCTCCCGCTGGAAGGAGCACCTCTTCCCAATTTGCCCCCGAGGCAGCCCTGCAGCCTGGCAGCTCTGCGCCACTGTGCCGGTCTCAGCCCCTGTTTCTTAGCCCTCCCCTGTATTTCTGAGTCTTTCTGGAAAACTGAGAGGTGTGTGTGCTCCCTTCAGGATGTGTCGCGGACATTGGTAGAAGGAGCAGGGAGAGTGGGTGCTGGGCAGGAGCCCACTGAATACAAAGGCAGATAAGCAGACCTGGCTGGGACCTGGAGGAACGGGCAGCTCAGACCTCCACGGTGTTCCTGGACATCCGAGGCCCTTGTCCACAGACCGCTGCCACCTGTCCCACCCTGTCCCCCATGGCAGGAGATGGAGGCATGGGCTAGGTGAACTCATACGATGATGCAAGCTTTCCTTTAAACCACACGGCACTGCTGTCTGGTCTGTGACTAAGGAGTGTGCTCTGTGTGTTAGGGAGGCTTCTCAGGGAAGGGGACCGAGACCCAAAGGGTCAGTCATGTGCTCACATCCTGTGGGTCCTCAGTGCCCAGGCAGGGCCCACAGACAAGTGACGTGTCGTCGGACTCCTGGTCCCAGGCCTGTTGACCTCTTCATGCTCTCCCTCAGATCCCAGCCCCTGGGCTGTGTGGATAGACCGAAATGTTTGGGGCTCTGTGTTAAGTGGGCTTTGGGAAGCTGCCCGAGGCCAGGTAGCCTTAGTTCTTGTCCTCCATCACTTCCACATGCACCTGGAAGGACATCACACACCTGAGTTCGGATCCCCTCTCCCCAGAGCAGACGGAGCAGGGCTTTTCTCCAGCAGGGTCTCAAATACTCCTGGGCACTGGTGATGCCCACTTCAGGTGTGTGAGCACCCCAGCTGGGCACCAGATTCAGGTATACCTTTGCCACCACATAGATCAGAGAAGGCAGGTACGGAGCAGGGCAAGCAGAGCCACCTGGGAAAGAAGGGACAGTTCAGAGCCCCTTTCCTGCCCTCAACCTCTGGGTGCAGAGTTGAGCTTTACCTCTGGCAATAAACAAGCAGGTGAGGCTCCATAGCCTGGAGCTTGGCAAGGCGGGGGAGGGATGGCTGCCCACAGGCTTTTCAGGGTCGCAGGCATTTCCGCTGGTCCTGAAGGTGACTGGGAGGTGCCAGATGAAAGGGAGGTGGGGAGCTGGGAAGAAGGAACAAAACGTGTTTGCTAGTTGGGATTGGAGCAGATCTGTTCAAAGAGCAGGGAGTTTGGGGCGCTGGTTGGTTAGGAAGCTGGAAACCAGATGGAGTTCAGTGAGCCAAGGTCTCCTTAAAGTATTTTCAACTGCAGTGACCCCATCAGGTTGGTTTAAAAACAGCTCTGCTAGCAGGATGGAGACCAAATTACAGAGACAGCAAATCAAGGCAGAGAGGCACCCAGATTAAATGCTCCTGCGAGGAGCGGGTGGGCAGGGGCTGAGTGGAGCCCCCCGCCCAGGTGTTTGCCTGTCTCCTCTGCAGAAGTTCACTGAGCACTCGTGTGCGATTGTGAGATGGGAACACGAGGGTGGGTGAAACAGATGTGCCCCAAATGGGCAGGAAGAGAAATTGCCCTGAGGATTTCAACACGAGAGGAGCAGGTTACTTGGTGTGGAAGGCTGGGGTAACTGCAGAGAGCTCTCAACTCACGGAGCCGGGGAACGGGAGGAGGAGCTGGAAACGTGCAGGAAACCCGAAGGTCCCTTGCTGCCCCGCTGGCTGGCCAGGCGCCCTCTGGCACCCCCTACAGGCAGAGCCCACCTGCACCCTGGGCACAGGAGCCTGGGAAGTTCCCAGGCTCTGCAGCCCTCTAGCCCCAGCCTGCAGAGGAGAGGACGAAGACACACCCTGCCTTAATTAAACACACACTGATGGTGGGGAAGAGAGGGGAGACATCAAGCACCACTTGCGGGATTCTCGCTGGGGAGGCTGAGGAGTCAAGGTCAAAGGATCCCTGGGAATGGAGTCCAGGAAGGTGGGGGCACCTCACCCCCCGAAAGGCGACCCGGAGCTTAGCGCAGATGCAGGTGCATCCTTTGACCTTGACCCAACCTCCGGTGTGTGACAGCCTCTGCTCACTTGCACCTGCGTAGAGCGTCACTTGCAGCTCCACCCCTCCTCAAATGCGCGTTCTCTTTCCTGGTGGGATGGTGCCTTGAATTGGGAAGTGTTTTGGTGTCTTTAGTTTTGCTTGAGTATGTCATTGATTTTTTTCTCATTTCTGATAGAGGCTAATGGAAAGTATTTCCTGATTAGACCTGAGGGCATTTGCCCTCACCCTACCTCTCAGCTCTGTGCAGCAGGCATCTGGACTAACAGCCTCCAAGGCGGCGGACGACAGACGCACATCTGCCCTGCTCTCAGCCAGTGATTCGCCTGTTTCAGACAATTAAACACACACATCCGTGGGTCGGTCCAGCCAGAGAGGCGAGGAGTGTGCTCTGTGTGTTAGGGAGGCTATGGGAGCCATTTTTCCTGTGATTTACACCTTTAGACACAGCCACCAGCCTTTCTCCGTCAACCTAGAGTGCGCTCATTTCACAGCACCTGACCCCATTCAGAATCATCACCTCACCCTACCGGTGCAGAAGTGCTTCACATCCTGACCTCTGTCAGCTGCAACCCACCCTGCCCCTGCTGCTAGAAGGCCTCTCCTACCACGCAGCTCCAGTCCCCTGCTCCCAGCTCTAACACCCTTACTGGCTCCCCAGTCCCCAGAATTAAGAATCGACCTCCAGAGCCTCATCTCTTTGCTTTTCTTAAACACATCCATCCCTGGCTCACCTGCTTTGGAGCCTCGGTGTCTCCCTGCGTTCCCTCTTGATGAAATCCCACCAATCTTTCAAGACCTGTTCAGATATCTTCTTCATCAATCCTTCGGGGACTGCAGGCTCACATGGTGCTTGGAGACCTCATTGTTTTCTAAAGGAGCTGTCCTTGCTTGTGTGGGGTGATTCTGGGTCCCTTCTTCCCTCAGCACACACACATACACATATACACACGCATACACACACATGCACATACACATATACACACAGACACAAACATGCACGTATACACATGCACACACATGTACACACACATCCAGATACATATACATGCGCACATACCCATACATGCACATCTACACACACATGCACATACATAGACACATACATAGACACATGCGTATATATGCATATACACATACAGAGAAACATGTCCAGACACACATATACATATATGCACACATATACATGCACACATGCAGACACACACACTCAACCTTCCTCTCCTTACCTCACCTGCCATGTGTAGGTAGGTCCCCTGGCCAGGAGCCCTTTGCAGCATGAGTGTTTTTGCCATGCAGACTCTCAGGGCAGGGTTGACTGCAGCTGGAGCAGTGTCTCAGGCATCTCCATGTCACAGGGGACCTCTGGACAGCAGAGACGCGGAGGTGGAAAGAAAAGCAGTTGGTTGTCAGTACTTCAGAAATGGAAAACTAGGCAGAAATGGGTTTCATTTCGTTAAAGTGATTTCACCTCACTGTTAAAGCAGCATCTCAGTGTTCAAGGTTGGCCCATAGAAGGTTCTGGAACTCATGAAGTTGTCTCTGTTTCCTCAGAGCAGTGAACTGCACAATATTAATAGAGGCTATGTGTCCAGAGGGCCCGTTATGAAATGTTTGGGAAAGGCTGGGTTAAAGCGTTGAACAGCTAAGTGAGTATCTCAGCGCAGGCCTTCTCAGAGCCTTGAACACACAGATGCACCTTGCAGGACTCCCTAAGGGAGTATGTGGCATTTCCCACAGATTCACCGCAGGAGTTCCGGGGTGGCAGGGGCACATCTCAAGGGGAGGGTCTAGTGTTTTCTCATGAATGCACTTTGGGAAGTGCCGTCTTAAACCACGGACATCAGGCAGCCTTCCGACAGCAGAGGGGCCAGGTGGAGCAGTAGGGGCAGCATTCAAGACTTCCCAGACCGTATTTTTTCTTTAAAAACAGGCATTCTGTGTAACAGCGTGGGCAGCAAAGCGTAACGAGGCTTCTGAGGCAAGGCGTTCCTCCTGGAGCCTTCGTTTTAAAGCGGGCGCTTGGCAGCCGTGGCTTGACAGTTGAAATTACAGGCATTCCAAACCGATCATTAAAGCTTGCATGTAATTAGCTTAATGAGACACAAGCCACACAAGATGTCCCAGATAACTCTGTGGTTGTCTCTGTTTTCCAGTTCCTTCCGCAGAGGTCGCATCCCGCCAACCCCGCCTGCATGACTCCCCACGGCACCGTTCTCCACCAGACCCTGGATTTCGACGAGTTCATCCCCCCGCTCCCGCCTCCACCCTACTATCCCCCAGAGTACACCTGCACACCCTCTGCCGATGCCCAGAGGTTGGTGTCCCAACGCCGCCCCCATCTTGAAGCCACCGAGATTAGCAGCAGTGTCTGGGAGGTGGGAGTTGCAGTGGCCCTGCAGGCCTGGCACTGAGAACAGGGAAGGGGCAGTGGAAGGAGAGGTCTTAGACGTTGACCATTCCCCGTGGCACCTTTGCGACACAGCCCAAAAGAAACCAGAGGCCGATGGGAGTTGCTGCCTTAACGTTCTCGCGATGTGCAAAGCTGCCGTCTATAGTCATTCGTGTTACATTTAAAGTTGAATGAAAGATTTCATCAGCTGACGATTATTTGAATTTTAATGGACAGGTTGGTAGAGTTTCTTGAAAATGTTGATGTTCTAAAACAAAGGTGCGGATCGCCCAGTGAGTGAAGCTTTGATTTCACCATGATGGGAAGTATTAGGAGAGGGAAAACCCTGGCTGCCCCTGCTCCGGCTGCTGTGAGAGCTGCCAGCCCTTCCGCCTCAGTCCTCAGGCAGTGACGATGTGATGCTTCTGCCTTTTCAGGGGCCTCCACCTGGACTTTGCTCCATCTCCATTCAGCACTTTGTATGACGTGGCCATCAACAGCCCCGGCCTGCTCTATCCTGCTGAGCTCCCGCCTCCGTACGAGGCGGTGGTGGGCCAGCCCCCTGCCAGCCAGGTGAGGCCTGGGGCCCCAGATAAGGCCAGTTTCTGTGGGAACGCTGGGGACACTGTTCCGGCCGGCCCTCGGGATGCACCTCACACTGCACCAGGTCCAAGTGGCTGCGAACACCCGCGAGTGCCCTGTGCCGAGGCCCCCTGAGGCATGTGTCTGTCTTGAAGCGTTTCAGCAAACCTGTGGGACATTGGTCCTTTTTTTGTTTTTGTTTTTTTGATGGAGTTTTGCTCTGTTGCCAGGCTGGAGTGCAGTGCCACAATCTCGGCTCACTGCAACCTCCACCTCCCAGGTTCAAGCGATTCCCCTGCCTTAGCCTCCTGAGTAGCTGGGACTACAGGCTCCTGCGTTCACACCTGGCTAGTTTTTTTGTATTTTAGTGGAGACGGGGTTTCAGCATGTTGGCCAGGATGGTCTTGATCTCTTGACCTCATGATCTACCCACCTCGGCCTCCCAAAGTGCTGGGATTACAAGCATGAGCCACCGCACCTGGCCAGGATGTTGGTCTCATTAGCCCTGTGCTATAGATGAGGCCACAGGCTTGGAGAGCAGCACCTGCAGAGACGCCAGCCCAGGCCTGGGGCACCTAGTGTCGGTGCTTGTCCCCTTGTCTCCCCAATTCCCTTTTTGCAGCCACAACTCACAGCCCAGGTGCGTCTGAGCATCATGCTGGTGGGTGTTCTAGGATGCAGGCAGAAGGACCTGGGACAGCTCCTGACCTGAGGGCAGAGCCCCCAGGAGCAGAGCTGGTTCCATGGACCGAGTATCCAGGGCGCTCCGGCCGGCCTTGATCACATAGTGCCATCAGCGCCCTCTGAGGAGGGGAGGAAGCTGCCCTGGGTCCCTGCTCCTGTCTGAGGCTGAGACACTTCAGGCCAGGGAAGTGCCTCTACTGCCAGTGCTTCCGGCCTTCCCTGAGCTGTGCGTGCCGGGCACTCCCCCAGCCTCTCGGTGCCTGACATGTGACAGGCTGTATGTTCATGAAGCCTCGGTCTCCTCATCTGTAAAATGGGCATCATTGTAGTACCAAGGTCATGGGACCAAATGGGAAGTTGTCTGAGTGGAGCCAACAGGACCTGGAGCATAGTAAGTACTGAGCTCAGCAGACGTCAGACATCCTTTTTGGGGATTGTCCTCCTCCTCCTCCTTGTCGTCATTGTCATTACTCAGTGTGAAATGCTGCTAGCCACGGCAGAACGATGGGGACATCTGGAAAGGTCACGTGGCTCATAGTGCAAGGGATCCTCCAAGGACCCACCTTCCAAGGAATGTGGGGTGTTGTAAATAGACCAAATCGACAACTCACTGGTGTCCAAGCGATTGCAAAGCATATTTTAGGATATCATCTGTGAACATTCCCCAGTCCTGCTAGAGAGGTCAACAGTCCAGTTCTGGAAAATGCAGAGAACTCCCATGACAGGGGGTCAGGGTGGTCCTGGAGGCCTCGGGGACTGGGGCGTGGCTGACACACACAGCAGCAAGTTGGAGCGGAGGGCACAGGCAGGGGAGCCGAGGAAGTTCACCAGGGAGGGGCAGAGGGAGAGGCTGAAGCCACTTCTGAGCCCCAAGCAGCAAGCAGAGGAGAGCGGGTGACAGCATGACCTGAAGCATCCAGGCGCGCCGAGAACTGCGCCCACTGTGGGCTTCTCAGCAGCCATGGAGCCCCAGACGGTTCTCTCTGCCCAGATCATCGGCCAGGTAGTGGTACAGGGTGTCAGATCAGGCCTGGATGGCTGCCTGCTGTCTTTGCTGACTCTTGTAAAGCCACCCTAGCACAGGGCTCAGGCCTTTTGATGTCACCCCCATTTTCCCTGTCACGCTGAGATCCCAAGGGCCCACGTGCACACAGGCCAGGTGGCAATGTTGGTCCCTTTGCCAACCAGGGACCAAGGCAGTGCTGACCCTGAGGAGCCTCTGTGGATGGAACAGCAGTTTCCATGGTGGCTGAATAAGCTCATGAGCTTTGCTGACAATCACACCCACAAGGACGGGTCAGTCACCTTAGCAGGTCGGGTGGTCTTAGGACAGGAAGAGACGTGGCCTCCCTGTGCACTATGGAAACATGGAGAGCACGTTCAGACGCTGTAAGGTGCCATGCACCTGGAGAGTCACATATGCCATAGGGACCTCCTTTGGGGTGGCTTGTGGTAGGCCAGCTCAGCTTCCGGCCGGCCCATGAGCCCCCAGCACCCCCTCACACAGCAGACAGTGCCCCTGGAATGCCTGGAGTGGCTGAGCAGCTGCAGACAGCGGTTCCTGCACCCCGGCTGGGACTCCCTTCTTCCTGTGGGTTCTAGAAGCACACGTGTGGGAGCTGCCTGTGGGGAGGAATCCTTTAGTGAGGAGGTGGGCATGGCCCCGAAATTCATTCCCGAACCTGCAGTTGTGGAAACGTTGTTAGACATTTTTATAAAGCTGAGCCAGGACCCCTGCCTTCCCAGTGTTGCTTAGCTAATAACACTGATTTGAATTATTGTTGCCATAAACAGAAAGCTAAGCAACACTGGGAAGGCAGGGGTCCTGGCTCAGCTTTATAAAAATGCCGGAAGTCACTTCTAGACCTGGATGTGACATTCAGTGCCTGACTGTACGGCAGCTCCGGGAAGGACATGGATTCCTGCTGTGTCACAGTTTTCTCTGAAGAGGCAGATCTACGGGAGAGGATCGCGCTGGTTGTGAGGCCAACTCGAAACCCCTCTCTCAAACTCTGGGGGATTCTCTCAGTTGAGATTTCTTTCTCAGAACTGCAGTGAGAAGAGCTGTAAGGTCAGAGGCTGATCTCAGATTACCAAGGGTTGGCTCGGAGACCCCCAGCTCCCAGTGCTGGCAGGGGCACAGCACGACCCCCTGCACGGCCTGTCCCTGGGCGCCCGCCTGGCAGCAGGGCAGCATCTGGTGATTAACGGGCTGCTGCAGCCCTCAGGCCCACTTTGTTTGACCCCCTGGTCTGAGAGCACTTTTCAATTCACGGCCACGTCTGGGAGTCTGGAAGTCAACGAAGTCCATTACCGTCCACAGAGGGAAGGCCGTGCCGCCAGCTGCGCCGACAGCTGTCCCCTCCCTAGGCAGCAGGCCCCCTGACTAGACAGCGAGGAACGCCCCTTCACAGCACGACCCTGCACCCCTCTGAGGAGGGGTCAATTGCTTCTCCTTGTTAGGACAAATGGCGTAGAAATTGCCCTCAGCACTCATGTGCATAAAGGTAGGAGGCCGCAGAGGTAGACTCCTTGGAGGCACAGCTGGCTCTGGGGTCTGGGGTTGGGGGTGCGCTGGGGAAGAGGTTTAGCACAGGAGGGGCAGCCTCCCCGAGGATGGGCTGAGGAGCACTCGCCTGGGTGATGGGCTGTGCACACCTCCCTCCTGGCTTAGGTCAGATGCCGGATGAGGGTAGGATTGGGTCAGACGCCGTTCTGTTTCCTGTGGCTGTAGTCTTCAACCAGTGTTGAAGGACTGAGTTTCTTTTGTGTTGGAAACAGATGCTCGGTGCCATGAAGAAAAATCAGCACTGAGACAAAGGATCCTTCAGCACCGCAATATTTACTTCCTGGGCAGGAAGGGGACCCTCGCTAGCCATCTTGCCATCGGAGTACAATGAGCAAAGGAAAACACACAAATTTATTCCCTACGCATCTGGGGTGGTCCTTACTGCTGTGTCTGATCTCCGTTGGCTGGAGCCAGACCTCGCAATCTAAACTGAAACCCAACTGGCTAACAATTTAAAACTTTTCTAAACAGGTAAAAGCAATGGAGAGCTGGGACCTGCCTGTGAGCACGTCTAGCACAGATATCCGGGTTAAAGCACAAGGACACAGAATGTACTACGTGCCCGTAAGCATGGCATGTCTAACAGCTACACAGGATAGGGCTTAACAAAGAGTTATTAGCACACTTACTCTTTAACAAGGAAGGAAACTTTAAAAAGGAACTTTTTTACTTTCCACATTCTGTTAGCAGGAAAGTGACTGAGAAATTACCAGTTTGATCTTCTTGTCCTGGTGGCAAGTGTATGTTTCAGGGACCACTGAAAAAAGTGGGTATAGGACAGAATCCTCCTGTCACATCACTCTCATGTAGTGACCCGACAGAGACAAACTTCTTCCAGGCTTCTACAGAAGAACACGGCCTGGTGATCTGGGAGGGCTGGGGTGTGGGGCTGGGGTGTGTGGAGGAGGGGGAGGGGGTGTGGGGGGCTGGAATGTGTGGAGGAGGGGGAGGGGGTGTGGGGGGCTGGGGTATGTGGAGGAGGGGGAGGGGGTGTGGGGGGCTGGGGTGTGTGGAGGAGGGGGAGGGGGTGTGGGGGGCTGGGGTGTGTGGAGGAGGGGGAGGGGGTGTGGGGGCTGGGTTGTGTAGAGAGGGAGGTGGTGTGGGGGGCTGAGGTATGTGGAGGAGGGGGAGGGGGTGTGGGGGGCTAGGGTGTGTGGAGAGGGAGGTAGTGTGGGGGGCTGGGGTATGTGGAGGAGGGGGAGGGGGTGTGGGGGGCTGGGTGTGTGGAGGAGGGGGGTGTGGGGGGCTGGGGTGTGTGGAGAGGGAGGGGGTGTGGGGGGCTAGAGTGTGGAGAGGGAGGTGGTGTGGGGGGCTGGGGTGTGTGAAGGAGGTGTAGGTGGTGTGGGGGGCTGGGGTGTGTGGAGGAGGGGGAGGTGGTGTGGGGGGCTGGGGTGTGTGGAGGAGGGGGAGGTGGTGTGGGGGGCTGGGGTGTGGAGGAGGGGGAGGTGGTGTGGGGGGCTGGGGTGTGGGGGGGGGAGGTGGTGTGGGGGGATGGGGTGTGTGGAGGAGGGGGAGGTGGTGTGGGGGGCTGGGGTGTGTGGAGGAGGGGGAGGTGGTGTGGGGGGCTGGGGTGTGTGTGGGGGGAGGTGGTGTGGGGGGATGGGGTGTGTGGAGGAGGGGGAGGTGGTGTGGGGGGCTGGGGTGTTGGGGGGGAGGTGGTGTGGGGGGCTGGGGTGTTGGGGGGGAGGTGGTGTGGGGGGCTGGGGTGTGTGGAGGAGGGAGGTGGTGTAGATGAAGGTCGCAGCATCAGCTAAGGCCTACAGCAGGATGGCCTGGAGCCTGACTATGTGAGCTTCAGCTCACCAGGGCTGAAGTAGTTTGGGCAGATATTTTATGACCTTGGATGTCAAACTATTCAAGTGCCTTTAAGGAGCTTGGCGTGTTGCGCATGACCCAGTGCTGCTGTGGGAGTGTAATTTGGTGACAGCATGGCGGGTGGAAGGGAACCCCAGAGCGCGACCAGCACAGTCTGAGACCAGCGCCAAGTCCTACAAGTTATGATCTACAAAATATCTGTTAGCAAAGCGTGTTCAGGGTTTGCCTTGAGCCACCAGCCTAAAATTTAACTCACATTTTGCATGATTGCTGGAATTGACCCAAAAGAACAGCTTTTCATAAATCTGGTTCTAAATGGTTGACCTCACCCAGGAGTGGGAAACGCACTACAGAAATTCCATGCCGAGTGTCTTAGCCACAGAGCTTTGTACAAGGTGAATTATTTGTTGAAATGCCAATCGATTTTTCAATTACGATGACTGTTCAGAATGGCACATCGGCCAACCAGTAAGACTCAGGTGAAGTGATTCCCGAAGTGTCTCCTGTGCACAGCCCCTCCCCACTCTCCTTCTGCAAAGAGCTGTGTTTATGAGCTTCCTCGCTGAACTCCAATTTCAACTTAAATTCTCTGCCACAAATACATTTCTTCCCCACTCTTTTCTCCTGCCTTTATAGTTCAGTAAAAATGCCATATGAGAGGAACAGCTATTTTCCCCGTGGCTTAGCGTGGCAAGGTGGCTTCTGACATCAGGGAAGGGCCACATTTAAATTAAACTCTTGGCACTGCTGGTGAGAGGTGATAGGTACGCTCCCAGGAACTGCCTCCTCTCAAAACTGAATTTGAATTTGACCAGAAGCCAGAGGGAAGTGAGTGATGCTTCTGCAAAACATGAAGCGAATCCAGTTTCCCCCTGAACTCACCCCACTGCGTGTTTTCTGTCTCTTGTTTTATTTATGTTTCTTTATTGCCCGAAGATTTCTTTTAGACACCGGAGTTGTAAGTTACCACCCACCTACGATCCAAAAGAAAAGAAAGGTCAAGGGCAGGTTAGATGCAGGAAGGAGGGCGCCAGATGAAAGAAACCAATAGGGCAGCGCTTTCTTCCTGTGATTCGGTGGGAGATTCTGGACACAGATTTCCAAAATCGGTTACTGGCACATAATGACTTCAGTGGCAAGGCAAGTGAGCGCTGATGGTGAGGTGAATTCTCCCTCCCTGACTCCCTCCCAGCAGAATGAGAGGGCTAAGTTAGAAAAACAGCATGGACCGTATCCCTCAGAAGCATCTTAGTGAGACCAAAGGACACACTTAGGCGGCTCTCCCTCTTCTCTTTGTCTCAAAACCCCCTCTGGAGCCCCAGACCACAGGGGCAGCTCACACCCTCTGTGTGGGTGGGCAGGCCGCAGCCCCATCCCCCACCCCGGTGTCAGCCTGGTTGAAGAGGAGAGATGGAGGAGACCAGCTATCTGATTGAAGTGGCAGGAGATGAGGCAGGCAGAAATGTAATTACCGGAGCTGAAATCGGACGGAGCCACAGGGGCCCCCCTCACCTGCCCAGTCTCCTCGGGAGCTCATTATTTGCAAGTGTATCCCCAAAGCAATTCTGAAATAACACAAGGATTGAAAACTTGTTTTCTGAGGTGGCATGGGGTGCCTGGCGGTGCCCATGTGACGTGTGTATAGTGTGCATCACATGCAGACATCGAATCCGGGAGACCCTAAGTCAGGGATGGCGCAGCTATGCCATCCAAGGTGGAAACCATGCCCCACACAGAACAGGCAGAACGAAGATGGGATAGAGAGCAGTGGGGGTGTAGCCCTTCCCTCAGATTCCGAGGCCTCTCCAGGCAGAATCGAAGTCTGTGCAAGAAGAAAGCTGAAAAAAGCAGGGCGTGGTAGCTCAGACGTATACTCCCAGCTACTGGGAAGGATGAGGCTGGATTGCTTAAGCCCAGGAGTTTGAGGCTGCAGTGAGCTATGACTGCACTACTGCACTCCAGCGTGGGCCACGGCATGAGACTCTGTCTCTAAAATATATAAAGAAAAGAAAAATAAATAGAATGTCACAAAAGATCGATGACGGTGCAATTTGACATCAGGATTCTGTGGCCCTGTTGGGCACACCGATTGCAAAAGTTCACAAAAATAGGCTTTGGGTCAGGCTCGGTGGCTCACGCCTGTAATCCCAGCACTTTGGGAGGCTGAAGCTGGCTGATTGCCTAAGGTTAGGAGTTTGAGACCAGCCTGGCCAAGATGGCAAAACCCCATCTCTTCTAAAAATACAAAAAACTAGCCAGGCGCAGTGGCAGGTGCTTATAATCCCAGCTACTAAGGCAGAGTCGCTTGAACCAGGGAGGCAGAGGTTACAGTGAGTGGAGATCACGCCATTACACTCCAGCCTGGGCAACAGAGCAAGAGCCCATTTCAGAAAAAAAAAAAAGAAAAAACTAGGCTTTGGCCTCTGCAAGGGTGACTTGAACCCTCAGACCTCACCTCATAAATATAGGGGAGAAGAGTTGAGCTGTGGGTGAACTTTATTTTCTTCTGAGTTGGAGTCTCACTCTGTCTCCAGGCTGGAGTGCAATGGTGTGATCTCGGCTCACTGCAGCCTCCTGCCTCACCCTCCCAAGCAGCTGGGACTACAGGGACGCACCACCACGCCCAGCTAATTTTTTGTATTTTCAGTAGAGACAGGGTTTCACCATGTTGGCCAAGATGGTCTCGATCTCTTGACCTCGTGATCCACCCTCCTTGGCCTCCCAAAGTGCTGGGATTACAGGTGTGATCTACCGTGTTGGGCCCAGGAGACAAGTTTTAGTGCCTGCCCTACTGTGTTGTGTTCCCACGGATGACCCACCTTGACGCTTTCCGTTTCTTACTGTAGGTTACAGGTATAGATCAGCAGGTGGCTGAGTCCAGCTCCGGGGATCCAAACACCAGTGCTGGCTTCAGCACTCCAGGTAATCTTACCTCTTTCCGCTTCTGAAGTGGGTGTTCGTGTTTTCGAGGATGTCTCTTTTCCTCCTCATCCTGTTTTCTCCTCTTCTTCCTCCTTTCTCTATTCCTTATTTAAGGGGCTGGAGTTTGCAACAGCCTTTCCCATTAAACACTCTCCATGCTCCCCACATTCCTTCCTGTGCCTGCGTCCTCTACAGTTGGCATCCTGGGAGACCTCCCACGCTCTCTGGGGAGACCTCATCCCCTCTGCCCGCTTTCTCACTTGAGGGGTATGGATTTGAAGAAGAGCACAACTCCATCTAGGGTCGCCTTTCCAGAGCCAAAGTTTTACCCACCGGGTGAACGGCATCTCCCTCTGAAGAAGGTGCCTGGGCCGGGCAGCTGGAAGGGGGGCACAGGCTGGAAGTCATGTCCTGGAGGGCATTGAAGGACACGTGTGCAAGGGTCAGATCCCCAAACAGACAGGGTGGAAGTCAAGTGCAGAGCCCGGGCAGGGGAGGTGGTCTAAGATTCTAAGAAAGCAGGAGGGCCCTTTGTAGCAGAGGGAGCAAGGACACAGAGGCCAGGCGAGCCCAGAGAGCCACCATCTGAGGCCTCTGCGAGGCGCCACGTGGGCTGGCTTATTTGGAGACCACAGTTAGATAACTCATTTGATCCCACAAAGGGCCAGGACGATAGTCCCAGGGCACTCTGTCCTCTCCCCAACGCTCACTCAACGTCTAAGAGAACAGGGAAGGAGCCGTCTTTCTGGGAGGCCACCTTGAGAACCGGGAAGGGGCTTCTGGGAGGCCACCTTGAGAACAGGGAAGGGGCCGTCTTTCTGGGAGGCCACCTTGAGAACCGGGAAGGGGCCGTCTTTCTGGGAGGCCACCTTGAGGTTACAGAACGCAGCGTCTTTGCAGTTGTGAGACTGGAAGTAATCTTGTCCTTCCCTTGGTCACTCCAAGCCATCAGAAGCTGTCCAAGGTGCTCAGTGGCCTTCCCGGGGCAACCCAGGGTACAGTGTGTTTCAGTCACTGTCACAGGGTGGCCACACCTGTGGCACATCAGGGTTTGGGCTGAGGGGGACCAGTGCTACCAGGCCCCTGACTGTTTGCCATCTCAGGGCAGGCTGAAATAGACAGGGGTGCTCCTCACCCAGAATTCAGCAGAGCTGGATCTTCCTCCCTCCTAGGACCTGGGTGCTGAACTTTACAGCTGACTCAGGCACCAGCAGAGCTTCCTGCACCCAGGCTCCTGCTGGGCTACAGAATCAGGGCTCTACTAAGGAGAGGAGCACCTTGGTGGCCATGTGACCTTCAACGCTGCTCTGCCTAAGCCCATTTCTGCAGCTATGGGATGGGAGTAAACCAGGGCTGCCTCACAGACAGGCAGTGAGGATGAAGTGGGAGGTGCCCGGAAAGGCCTGTCACCCTGGGGCAAGGTCACAGACTCGGGGGAGAAAAGGGTGGCAGGAACAGACCTGAAGCCCCCACGCCTGGAGGAGTTGAGGCTGCCATGATCTCCAAAGTGCCCCCACGAAGGGGATTCACCTTGCAGTATCCATCCCAGCACTAGCAGGGGGCTCTGAGGGCACCTGGTGACTGGAGTGAGAGTACAGGAGCACTTCTCATGCTGTCTCATGCATGCACACCCCGTGGAGATGGTTTTAAAACAGATTCCCATTCAGCCCCCGCGGGGTCCAGCCTTGGAGTGGTTCCGGGCAGGAGCTCAGCCCTGACCCACATCCTGGTCTGGAGCAGCAGTTCTTACAGTTTGGAGGGCACCAGAATTCCCTGGAGGGCTTGCTCTAACCCCGGTGGCTAGGCCTAGGACCAGGGTCTCTGCTTCCATGGATCTGGGGTCCAGCTGAGAATCTGCATTCTGGGATCGTTCCCAGGCAAGGCAGCTGCTGCTGCTGGCCAGGCATCCACACCCTGAGAGTCAAGGCCAGTGTCCTGTGGGCGGAGCTTATCCACCTGCCTGCACTGCCCTGTCTGGCTGCACACCAGGCCTGGGGCTGCATCCCTGCATGGGTGGGCCAGATCTCAGGTCCACTAGGACCTGGCAGGGATGCCTTGATGTCCCTCAGAGCTGCTGTGTATCCCTGCACCAGCCCTGTTCACCCAGACCAAAGCATCTGATTTCTAACTTTTAATCTCTTATGTAGTGTGAAGGGTCTAAGCACCACACCCATGCCATTCCTGGAATGATTTTGGGGAACTCACTTGGTTCCCCCAACTTTCAACAGCATAAAAGCGGTGATTGTCAATTTTTTTTTTTAAGACTCCGTCTCACTCTTGTCCATCATGCTGGAGTGCAATGATGCAATCTCAGTTCAGTGCAATCTCTGCCTCCTGGGTTCAGGCAATTCTCCTGTCTCAGCCTCCTGAGTAGCTGGGATTGCAGGCGCCTGCCACCATACCCAGCTAATTTTTGTATTTTTAGTAGAGACGGGGTTTCACCATGTTTCCCCGGTTGGTCTCAAACTCCTACCTCAGATGATCCACCCGTCTCGGCCTCCCAAAGTGCTGGGATTACAGGCATGAGCCACTGCACCCAACCATGTCAATTTTATTCAGTGTTTCTGCACCCCCAGGGTTTCAGAGTTCATCTAGGTCTGGAGTTCGAGGGGCAGGCCATGTCCCACATGAGCATCCCCTGAGGTCGCCCGCCCTAATGCCATGTCCCTTTTCTTACAGTACCAGCTGACAGCACAAGCCTCCTGGTGTCCGAGGGCATCGCCACGCCAGGTTCCAGCCCATCCCCCGATGGCCCTGTAGGCACCCCAGCGCCCCCTGAACCTGCCCTTCACCCTGGCTCTGTGTCTCTGGAGGATCCTGGCATGGGCTCACAGGTGCAGCCAGGACCTGGGCATGTGTCCCGCTCTACCAGCGACCCCACCTCATGCACATCTGGCACAGCAGGTATGGCTGGCCAGGCTCACCCATGTCCTAAGAGTGTGGCTGGCTTTCCCTGGATGCTGCAGGTCTTAATGACCCCTGAGACTGGAGTCCCGGCCCTGGGAGTCCTGTCTGGGACCACACTGGGAATGTGTTCTTGATGGCCCCTGAGCCGGAGGTGGGTGGGGAGCAGCCTGTGGGCCCCTCTGCACCCCACCAGGTTTGTCACTCTGGCAGGGAAGGAAGGATTCAAGGGACCCAGAGGCCAGTCCCAGACATTAGCTGTGAATGCTGCACACGTGCTCCAGGACCCAGAAAAGCCCTAGAGTCTGGCACAGGACAGATGACCCCCAATGATAACTCTGGGTCGTGGGGGGGTTTCGTCGGCTGGAGCCGCCCCAGGCAGACGGGTGTTTTCAGCAGCACTTCACAGGCACCTTGGCCGCAGTCTGCACACAGCCCAGAGTTTTCCAGGAATCGCCCCATGCGACTGTGTCCACAGGCAGTGCACTGGAGTCTAGGACCTGGCACCAGGTCCCTATGGCCAGCAGCCCAGAGTCCTGGGCACCCTGGGGTTGGAGACCTCACACCCAGTCCTCATCGCTGTGTTTCGGAGGAAGCACAGTTTGTGCCAGTAAAGACTGGTGGGACTTTTTCATGACAGTGAAGTGCAGGAACTGCAGCAGGTCCTGGCCCAGTCTCCTCTCTGTGGTCTTGCCCAGCTGATTCTGACCGGAGCCCAGCCACACCAGGAAGAACCGAGTCCCTGAAAGGAACTGGGGCCCACGGTGGCCAGTTGCCTGGAGGTGCCCTCCTGGTGGAAACACCAGGTGTGGCACGTGTAGACTCCCTGGCTGCGGTCATCTCTGTATTCCCCCTCCTGCATCCCACTGCCGGCTCACAGCGGTCGAGTCCTGTCGGAACCCTCTGAAACACCCACCTCTGCTGGTTCTTCAGAGCTCCAGAGCCTCTCCACAGTAGGGCCACAGGGGCCTCAGGCCCACATTCACTCACTGAGGTTTGGAGGAGGATGCCCTGTACTTGGAGGCGCTCATGGGTCCACTCTGTGGGCCCCTGATGGCTTTGTGTGGCCTGTCCCCCTCAGTGAAATTCATGCCTCGGCACCCACACACCTGTCTGATGCCTCTGTCCCCTCTTGGCTAGGCTGATCCGCATGCCGCAGGCACGTGGTGGGTATTCCCATGAAGGGTGCAGGGCTGTTTTTGAGTCACTGGCCCATTGCACTCTGCTGGTGTGGGACCCAGGACACCACTTGACCCACGGCAGACCTGGCCAGCTGCAGGGCGGTTCCTGTCTGATCTGCCACTGGGTGGGTCACAGTTCAGCAGGTTTCTCCTGCTTGCTCGCCATTTAAAGTACACGTCTTAGTCACAGGCAGGTCATTATCGTTTTACCGGTAATTCCTCTTTCCCTTTCACATGTCCACTGAATTCTCCTGCTGGTTAAGGCAATGCCTCTTCGCACAGACCCTCGTGTAGCCAGGATTCTAGCTGAGCGGGTGGAAGGCGGGTCCCTGCTGGCTGCAGCGGCCTTTCCCCCAGGCCTCGCTCCTGGAGGCTACAGCCCTGGAGGTTGACACCAGCTCAGCTCGGTTGAGAAGGGGAGGGGGTTGCCGACAGCAGGGCATGCCCAGAGCACCGGCCCAGGAACGCAGAGACCACAGCGGGGGGCTTGTCCCGAGAGCAGGCACCTCTCTGCTTTGGTGCTTACCTCTTTAAGGCTGCCTTGGCTTTTGTTTCCAGTGAGTTTCAAATGGCATCTTTTCCTTTGATTTTTAGTTTCCATGTCTCGCTCTGCCACGGCTGCCTGTTGGGCCCAGCTTTCACCAGCGGGAGACCCAGATACCTCGAAAGTTGACCAACGGCCAGCACCAGAGGCCTTGCCGGCGGCCTCCAAAGAGCAGCTGCGCTCTTTAGTGGACAGGAAGGCCTATGTGGACACCAGGGTTTTGGTGACTAAGTTTCTGGAACACTCACACCGTGCCCTTCCCACCGAGGCGCAGCACGTGGGGGGTGCCGTGCACGTGGCCGTCACCTCCGAGGAGCCCCCCGAGGAGGAGGCCGTCTTCAGTGCCAGCGTTCTGGACCAGGTATGAAGGAGCCACAAGTCTGGCCGTGGACAGCAATGGGCCTGGTGCCACAGATGTTCTTGCCAGAAGCCGCCTTGCCTGACAGAGGCCTCAGGCCCAGCTTGGCTGAGGACAAATCGGGGGGCGGGGGGACACCCAGCATCATCTGGGGGCAGTGAGGGCAGGAAACTGTTACTCCCTCTCTTGAGGGGAGCTGAGCAGTCGTTTCCTAGGGGATTGCATTTCCTGCCTAGCCTGGTGATTCGGAAAGATGACTCTCATGTCCGCAGTGAACTCTCTCTGGCGTGGAGGAGCCTGAACTGAGCAGCGTTGCACAAATGTGAATACAGCAACAGGGGACACTCATGTCACCTAAAGACTCTAAGTATCTCCAAAATCAGGGCCATCCAAAGCAGGAGTCTCCCACCCCCAATTTAACTTAGTGTTCAGTGGACAGAGAGTGGCATCGAGTCATGGGACATTTTCTCACGTGGTTCTCGGCTCTAGCATCACACATTCATCATGCTCTGGCCCATTTCCTATGAAAGGAGATAGGTAGCTTTTTCCTTTCCAGAAAGATGGCAGCCTGGGCCCAACTTCCTGCCCCCAGGGCTACGGTATACACAAATGTCCAGTGAGGGCTTCTGCCACAGCCCGGCCACCCCAGGGGACAGGCCAGCATTGTGGGGGGTTGGAGGTACCCACCATCTCCCAGTCTCCTGGGCCTTGAGCTCAGCCTCCCTCTGTGGGCCTCCCTCCTCCTGGGCCCCCTTTCTCCAGGTTCCTGTCCTGTTCCTGGAGCAGACCCTAGTTTGATCCTTAACAGTAAGTGCTGATTCCCAGCCCCTTTGGAGGTCTCCCTTGTATCTAAGCTCAGCTGATTGAGCTCGGTGGGTCCAGGTCTGGGGGAGAGGGGCTGGTTTCTCTGGGAAGTGGTCCCTCTTGATAAAGCAGGTCCCCATGACCCAGAGCCACCCTCCTCCGGGCAGCAGACACACCTGCGCAGGAGATCGTAAGCCACTGACAAGCCCACACAAAAAGGAAAGCAGACCCCCACCATGCTGCTTATGCGGAAGCAGGCCCAGTTTGGGGGTGGCTTGATCATCTTTGACTTTTTCAGCCCCCAGCCCCCTGTTTTCTGGTGGTGTCAGTGGCAGCTGTTCCCAACAGTGGCCTTGGAACAGTGCCATCCATGAGAACTTTCTGCAGTGATGGAAATGCCCGTTCAGGACCACTAACTAGCAACAGCCCCTGAGCTGCGATGGGTGGGCTCTCTGGCAAACAGAGCAGCCTCGAGCCCACGGTCTCCCCAGAGAGCCTATGGGCTTGGCATGGGGACACAGGGGGCATCAGAGGGTGCCCACCACTGCTGGGGGCCAGGGCTCATGCTGCTTTTTCCCTGGGCTCTTGGGGGCTTGTCCTTGAGCTCCCCCAATTCCCCAGCGCCACTGGGGCCAGTGTGCTGAGGAGCGTCTGTGTGGCTGGAAGCGAGGCAGGTGGGGAGGTTCCAGCCCAGCTGCGCAGAGCCTGCCTCCAGCCCTTACCCCGCCCTGGGGCTGAGATGTAGGACTCTGCCAGCTGTGGCCACTTGAGGTTTCAGCTGCTTTAGAGAGCTGAAAACACACAAACCAGGCCTTTCCATGACAAACTGCACTTTTCCAGGAGAGACGTACTAGAGATGAATTTATGGGCACTTTATTCAGACTGTAAGACAGGAAACCTCTGATGTTTCTCAAGTAGGGGCTTCTGAATTCACACAAGGCAAGTCCCTCTGCAGGTGCGAATAATTGATGGCTTTTCAAAATGGCTGCCCGGAGCAGCACTTCAGCCGCGCCTGACGCCCTGGCCTCTGCATCTCCGCCATCTCCGAGGTACGCTGGGGCCGCGCCGCAGGGTGTCACCTGCTTGGGGGGTCCACACAGCATTGTCCTTGGGCTGAGCCCTTGGGTGGGCCAGAGCCGCAGTTCCGGTGAAGCCAGCGCCGCCCCACCCAGTGGAATCGGCTTCTGGCGTGTTTTCATCATGCGGCTGGGGCACAGGCCCCCTGGACCACCCAGCCTGGTGTTCGGTGTCCTTCCCTTCTCTGCAGCAGGGCCCGGACCCACCAGTCCCTGCGGTCCCCACACCAGCACCCCCCCCACCCAGTTCTGGGTTTTCACTGGTGGCAGCTCTGTTTTATGGATACGGAAACTACCCAACTTGATGCCAGTGGGCTGGAATGCTCTGCCTCCTGGAAACGAGGCAGTCAGGGATGGGGTGGGGTGCCCCCCTCAGCCCAGCTGCTCAGGGCCACTCATGGACTCTAGGAGGGTCCAGGCTCTGGGCATCCCAGAAAGGTCCGCAGAAGAGAGAGGTGCTGGTAGACTAGGGAATGCGCTGGCAACTTGACCCAGCAGCTGTGGTGCCCTCGACCCTGGCTCCCTGGCATGCAGGTACCAGTAGCTCCAGCAGCAAGAGCCCAAGTCCCAGGCTGTGTGTCGGCTCACAGAAAAAGGGAAGGCTGAATTCCTCCCCTCCCTGTGCATCCTTTCCCCCACTCCACTCCTGCTCCCTGTCTGGGATCTTAAATAGGCCAACGGTGGCAGCTTTGGGGGCAACACCTCCTTCTCCAGCTCAGCTGGGCCCTGGGCTTCCCCTGCCCTCCTGAGACCCAAAGGGGGCTGGGACCTGCTGTGACACCACCACTGACCCCAGCCTGGGGGCCATGAGGATGCTGAGAGGGGAGAACCTGGACCCCAACTCTTTGAGATGCAAGGTTGGAGAGGGGGAGTATCATTTGCAAGGACCTCAGGCCTTCCTTGGGTGGAGATGAGGATCCACATTAAATGCTTATAACACACCAGGCCACAGAAAGCTCGTTACCCACGGATGCTTCTCCCCACCCATGCTGACTCTCAGAGGCTGCTAAGGCAGAATTTATAGGAAATAGTTTTCAAGCCACCAGAGACCTGTTTGTACAAGTGGAAGGGTTGTATTTATTTAATGTACCTCAAGGTGTTTTAATAATGATCAGTGTTTTAATAAAAAGTATTTCTGGCCTCTGTGTCTCTGAGGTATAACTGGGACAGAGGCAGGCTGAGAGCCCGTGTGTACCGCTGGCCAGGGGCAGGGTCCTGAGTGGGCGGGGTCTCAGGGAGCCTGAGACACCCATGCCTCTCTTGGTGCTTCCAGGAGCCTCAAGAGGCTCAGCTTTGGGGCAGCGTGGGGAAGGCAGGGCCTGGACACACGCAGGCCCGCCCACACTGGCCATGGCAGCCTCTCCGTGGATGCAGCCTCCAAGGGCTGCTGTGAGGAATGCGGGTCTGTAGCTCAAAGTTCTCCATGTAGGTTTTTAAAAGATGTGTAGGATTTGCTGGGAGTCCTCCTCACCCCGACAGCCCGCATGTCCTCAGCTGGCCAGGGCTCTCCTAGCTAGGACCTTCTTCCTGGCCCTGTCAATAAGAAGGTTCCCCTTGGCCTGGGCCTCCTGAGTGGTGGCCCGTTCCCTCCAGCTCTGACTCAGGTGCCATTTCTTTTCATTCCGCAAAGATGTGGTCATCTCCGGCATTTCTTGCTTCTTGGCCACGTCAAGAATGTATTTCTTCTCATTCTTCAGCATATTCAGAGCAAGCGCATATACTTTTCAGTCTATGACGGAGTTTCCTATGGAACAGCTTTCTTTGCCTCTACAATGTATACTTTCTGGGAAGAGGGAGGCATGGAGTGGCGGTGTGCCTTGAAAGGCTGTCTCTTAAAGGCCCCTGATGGCTAAGGTCAGCGGAGGCAAGCCCTCGGCCCACATCCCCCAGGCGGCCAGCTGATAAAAGTGAGTCTTCTCCTTACTCTGCAGTTCCCCAAGAATTCCGGGCCCTGAAGGTGGTCAGTGCTCATAGTGTGGTGCGCACGCTTCTGTGGGCAGGCCAGAGAAGAGGGCTCCTCCCCACCCAAGGCCCTCAGCCTAACCCAGCTGGACCCCAGGCCCCTGCCGGTGACCAAAGCCCATGCTTGCTACCCAGCACACCAGCTGACGCCAGAACGGTGGCCATGAAGAAAGGTAAGTGCTGGCAGAGCTGCCAGAATCATCGCTAAACAGGCTGTCAAGGCCTCACAGGTGCAGAGAGGGTGCTGGACAGGCCTCAAAGGTGCAGAGAGGGTGCTGGACAGGCCTCACAGGTGCAGAGAGGGTGCTGGACGGGCCTCACAGGTGCAGAGAGGGTGCTGGACAGGCCTCAAAGGTGCAGAGAGGGTGCTGGACAGGCCTCACAGGTGCAGAGAGGGTGCTGGACAGGCCTCAAAGGTGCAGAGAGGGTGCTGGACGGGCCTCACAGGTGCAGAGAGGGTGCTGGACAGGCCTCACAGGTGCAGAGAGGGTGCTGGACAGGCCTCACAGGTGCAGAGAGGGTGCTGGACAGGCGGTATGGCTTTCTGTTACACGCCTTTCCAGGGGTCGTTCCCATCATAATCTGAAGCAGCCCAGGGCTCTCTGGCTCCCTCATTCTGTTAGTGCTCTGCGGCCTGGTCTCCCTCCTGGGGCAAGTGGGTTGAGAACCCGGTGCTGACCCACTTACCTGGCATCATCGCTGGCACTTCCCGTTGCCCAGCTGACACCTGGTACCCAGAGTGCCCACCCTCCAACCTGATTAGTGACAGCTCCCGAGGCTCAGGGTCTAGGAGGGGCACAGAGCAGCTTCGGCTGCCACCACACAGCACACGTGCGGAGTCACATCCAGGCTTTGAGTGAGAGGGCAGGCGGGCACCGGCCGCTCGCGGAAGAGACCAGCCGCATGCAGGCTCTGGGTGAGAGGGCAGGTGGGCACCGGCCGCTCGGGGAGCAGACCAGCCGCATGCAGGCTCTGAGTGAGAGGGCAGGCGGGCACCGGCCGCTCGGGGAGCAGACCAGCCGCATCCAGGCTATGAGAGGGCAGGCGGGCACCGGCCGCTCGGGGTACAGACCAGCCGCATCCAGGCTATGAGAGGGCAGGCGGGCACCGGCCGCTCGGGGAACAGACCAGCCGCATCCAGGCTATGAGAGGGCAGGCGGGCACCGGCCGCTCGGGGTACAGACCAGCCGCATGCAGGCTCTGGGTGAGAGGGCAGGCGGGCACCGGCCGCTCGGGGAACAGACCAGCCGCATGCAGGCTCTGGGTGAGAGGGCAGGCGGGCACCGGCCGCTCGGGGAACAGACCAGCCGCATGCAGGCTCTGGGTGAGAGGGCAGGCGGGCACCGGCCGCTCGGGGTACAGACCAGCCGCATCCGGGCTCTGGGTGAGAGGGCAGGCGGGCACCGGCCGCTCGGGGAGCAGACCAGCCGCATCCGGGCTCTGAGTGAGAGGGCAGGCGGGCACCGGCCGCTCGGGGAGCAGACCAGCCGCATCCGGGCTCTGAGTGAGAGGGCAGGCGGGCACCGGCCGCTCGCGGAACAGACCAGCCGCATCCGGGCTCTGGGTGAGAGGGCAGGCGGGCACCGGCCGCTCAGGGAACAGACCAGCCGCATGCAGGCTCTGGGTGAGAGGGCAGGTGGGCACCGGCCACTCGGGGTACAGACCAGCCGCATGCAGGCTCTGGGTGAGAGGGCAGGTGGGCACCGGCCGCTCAGGGAACAGACCAGCCGCATGCAGGCTCTGGGTGAGAGGGCAGGTGGGCACCGGCCGCTCGGGGTACAGACCAGCCGCATGCAGGCTCTGGGTGAGAGGGCAGGTGGGCACCGGCCGCTCGGGGTACAGACCAGCCGCATGCAGGCTCTGGGTGAGAGGGCAGGCGGGCACCGGCCGCTCGGGGAGCAGACCAGCCGCATCCAGGCTATGAGAGGGCAGGGGGGCACCGGCCGCTCGGGGAACAGACCAGTCACACACACGGCTTTTCATCATGACTTCTGGTTTATTAGTGATATGCACGAAGTCTTCGTACGGGCAGCTGCATGCAACACGGGGCACTCCTAGAATACAGTCGCCCTAAAGCTTTAGTTACTGCGTGGTAAGGCTTTTTAAGTCACAGTGTATTCTTCAAGGCCTGGGCCAAAAAAAGAGACTTCGGGACAAGATGACATCAGAGTACATGGATCGCTAATGAACTGGGCTGGACTAGATCTACACACCCGCCACTACAGCTCAGGGCCGCCGCGCCACACTGGCCGAGGGGTCTGTGCTCACGGCTGGCTACCTTAAGCATGGCTGAGGTCGCGTTTTCTGGCATGGGTTTCGTTTCTTCGGGCGAGCATGTGCGTGGATGAGAGTGTGTAGATCGATTTTAAAGGGGGGGCAGATGCCTGGCCCTTGTCTCTGTGGGAGCCCGGCCCAAGAGAGACGATGGGAGAGGCAGGTGTGGTCACAGGTCACGTCAGAAAACCCTAGAGTCTGAAACAGCCTGCCAACATAAAAGTCCAAATAGTAACAGTATCTAAATAAATAGGGAGTTTTCAGGTTGAGGCCATCATCCTTTATTTACAGTCAATCACATGTCCCCACACTTTCATTACACGTTACGTCCTGGGAGCTGGGCTGCCTGCGTTCCTGCAATCAGTGACAGGCAGCTGTTTAGGACCATTGTGGGGGCCCACAGGACCCCAGATGTCCCTACTGAGGGGTCAAGAGCGACGGCTGCCCTGCCCCAGGAGCTGCGTCCCTCGGAGGCGCCAGTCTGCTCTGCCCAGCTTCAGGGAGGACACACACACTCCACACCACACACAGCTACCGAGATACACCCTGGCTGGCGGCAGGGGGAAGACAGTCCAGAACGTGGCAAAACACGAACGCTTTAGACATTTGTTCTGTGACTCTCCCTTGAGAAAGACATACCCCTTTTTGGCAAAGTGAAATAAAAACCAGGTAGGTGGCGAGGGCACGCCCTTTGGGGAGCCGGTGTCCGTGGCTGGGCTGTGGCGTCAGGGTCAAGTCTGCGGCCCGGCTCCTCTGGGCCCAGATGGGCCTGCCCAGTGTCCAGGCTGCGTGGACAGGCTGGGGGGAGCCTAGATGTACAGTGGGGTCTCCTGGCCTGTGAGGAGCCTGAACATGGCAGCAGGCATGGTCTTCATGTGGATCTGCCGACAGAGACAGGGGGCTGAGCCGCTGCCCTCTCCCCCACCCGTCCCTCAATCAGGTGAAAGCAAATGACAGATGCATACCCCACCGAGTTCCACTTCAAGTGCCCATCTCCTAGAGTGGAAGAGGAAGGCCAGCCTGTCCAGGCCCAGGGAAGACATAAAATGCCTTACAGGTACAGCAAGCGAGACTCGGGTCCCTACCCCTGGCTTCAGAGCGTATATATAGTTGAGTGCTAGTTTTGCTTCCCCTCCAGCTGACACCTGGGGGTGGAGAAATGGGACTTCTGGAAGGGACCACAGTTTGCTCATCTGCTGGGGCTGGCTGGGGGTGCCCAGGCCTCAGCAGAAACTTTGAGGGGCACATTCTGCTTCAGTGAGGAGGTGGCCAATGAGGGAAAAAACACCTCTTCTTATAAAACTAACACCGGCCAAGCCAGTGTGCTGGGAAGGGTCTTACTGGGGCCCAGGGTGCCTCACAGCCCTAGCCTTTGAGCATTTGAGCAAATGACCCTTCAGAGCCTGGCCTCACGCCCTGGCTTGAAAGGGACTGGGTATACAAGCAAGGCCTCAGACCACCCCAGGGAGGCCAACCATGGCGGGGGGGGGGGGGGGGCGGGCAGGGGCGGGCATGCCTCATAATCCTTTAGAGGCACTGGGAAGAAGCTGACCCTAAATGTCTGCTTCCAGAACAGAAGGGGAGCTCTGCTGCCCACTTCCCCGCCCCTGAGCACCATGCTCTCCTCTGTCCGGCCTGGGGCCTCGCTGGGCTGTGGCCCTGGGTAGGGGCCCCTGCTCTGTACGGTGGGCTGCCACAGGCAGTGCTGACCTTCCCCCCAGGTTGTGGCTGCCTACATCTGCCCCTCCTCAGGCAAGCAGGGCTCAGACCCTGGGCTGAGCAGCATGGCATGCAGCCCTCGTTCCCCCACTGGGATCTGTGTGTTGGGGGTAGGTTTCCACTTTTCCTGCTCCCAGCCATCTATGTGGCCGTGGAGGGTTCTGCTCCTCCTCCTACTTCTCCATC